AGCCGGTCACTGCATCCACTGGCAGCCGGTCACTGCATCCACTGGCAGCCGGTCACTGCATCCACTGGCAGCCGGTCACTGCATCCACTGGCAGCTGATCACTGCATCCATAGGCAGGAAGCAGAGAGATGAACGCTGGTGCTCAGCTTGCTCTTTGTTTAATTCAGTTTGGGATCCCAGCCCACGGAATGGTGCTACCCATATTAAAGTTGGGTCTTCCACCTCAATTAACCTAATATAGACATGCCCAAATATAGAGCTTTGTTTCCTAGGTGACTGTAGACCAAGTGGACAGAATTATGTATCACATTCTGCAAGACGGTGCAATGACAGCAGAAAGCATTAGCCCACTGCCCCCAGGACTTCAGTGGTTTGTTTTGTTTTTTCATTTTTAATTTTTAAAAACTTGTATTAATCACACATACAGTAGTCTGCCTGCAGGCCATAAGAGGGCACCAGATCTCATTATAGATGGTTGTGAGCCACCAGGTGGTTGCTGGGATTGAACTCAGGACCTCGGAGAACAGGCAGTGCTTGTCATCTCTAGACCATCTCTCCAGCCCTAACTTTGGTGTTCTGAGCCCCATGGGTCTGTTGGTCAGGATGCTGAGTCACACTTAGCCCCAGCTGTGTGCCATCTTCAGGATGCCACCGCTGCCCAGAGGTCTTGCTGCGACTATAGGATGAAGAAGATGCTGAGAGAAAGTTTCTGTTTGCCATGGTTATTAGATTAGAGCTGCATGTCCTCTCACAGAGCTTGACAGCCACACCAGAGGAGAGTCTAGATAATCAGAGAGCCAACGATATCCCTAATGACTCTGTGGGTTGGAAAATCCCAAGGCCAAACTTGACCCTGGGTTCTTTAGGTCCTGAGAAAAGCTGGCCAGCCTGAGCCACTGTGATAAGAATTTCAAGAGCTACACAGACATGGCCACTGTGACACACCCCAGGAGAGAGGGTCTTATGTGTTTCTTCTGTGTGGCAGAGGCCTTCCATCGAATCCAAGGGGACCTCTGAAAGCGCAGGAGGACCCTACAAATGCAGTGTGTGCATCCCTAAAACACAGGCAGTAGCTCCTCTCCAGCTGGCCCCATGGAGCCTGGGTGTGGACCAGGACCACAAAGAACACTAGCAAACTACTACTGGGAGGTCTTTGAGCATCCAAATGTGGCCCACATTCTACCTATGGCAGATGCCTAGTCCCCACGCAGAGCTACGAACCACAGAGCACTTCTGCTGTAGTATTTCTCGTGTTTTTCGAGAGTCTACACGCCCAAGCTGGCCTTGAGTTCTCTCTTGACTCACTCAGCCTTCCATGTCTGTGATTACAGGTCTGTGTCATCATGCCTGGCTCTTTCTGCCATGCTAGGGGCAGATGAAGGGCTCCAGTCAGATGCACATCTGCACAGGGGCCTCTGGGAGCTGTCTTGTCTATGGAAAAAGGCTAAAACATGAGTCACGTCAGGATCCGTTCTTGGTGCAGAGGTGAACGTACCTTTGGGTGCTGAGGACAGAGGCAGCATTCAAAGTGCCGAGTGGAAGGCCCAGCCGTGGTACTGTCACGGGACAGCCTTCTGGGTCTGAGGATTGTGTTGACCCATGGGAAGACTCACACTAAATAGGCTCTGCCCTAAAGTCCCCAGCAACAGGGGCTATGACACTTGGAAGGCACGATGTAGCAGGTAGCTGCACCTTGGGTTCCCCTCACACTTGGAGAAGGCCCCCAGGTCTCAGCTCATCCCCTCACCTTCCAGCATGTTCCTTAAGAGGCCACCTTGCTAGCTGGCAGGTGCTGCCTTCCCTGGGAGCTTTCCTGCTAAGACAATGTTAGGCTCATGCCAGCGGAGACTGCCCAGGGCAGCCTGTTTCTAGGCTACACCCTCCCACCTCCAGGGAAGGCCAGGGAGGAGTCTCCAGCACCGCTGTGGGCTACCTCTCCTAACTTGCAGCTGCAGAGCTCTAGACCAGAAACAGCCAGCCAGCTGTTGCTTCCCGTGGCTCTCTAGTGCCCACTGAAAACCACATACAGGCAGACACGATATGACTGAGTCTCCTGGCCAGGGATTCGCTACTATCCAGCCTCTGTGCCACTTTGCTCCATCCTGCCCGGAGGGCTAGCGGAGGACCCCCGACCACCGGCAGAGCTGCAGAGAGCATCCTGAAACGGTTCTTTGGGA